AGCCCTGCTGCGCCATCTACATGAGTTCCCCGGCCAGACAGAACTCCCCGCCAGGGCCGGGCACTGAGCGGGTGATCTCGCCTGCTGGCTGACAGGTGTCTGGGCAGGGGACCTCCGCCGAAGGGCCATGTGGGCTACGGGGGCCTGTCCGGCTGCCCCTGGAGCAGGAACAAGGGAAGGCGGCCACCTGGTTGGCCTCGGGACTGTTTGGTTGAGAAGCTTCCATTATATAAGAGGTGCAGGGGGAAAGAGACCTTGAACTTTAGAGAGAGGAATGTGTGTGCTCTGTCCCAGGAGTTAGACTTGGGAGGACAGTTCCATTTCCCCAAGTCTAGCACTTTTATGCCACTGGCTTTCTTCCCGTTTGCTCTGCACAGCTGCTGGGGAGCCGCCCTGGACAGTGGGGAGGAGCATCGTGGGAGACGGGAGGGGGAAGGAGGAGCACGAGGTCTCACCCTGGGCGGGCTGTGAGGTGGTGCTTTGGGGAACAGCTGCACAGTTCTCACCTGTTCAAACCTTCTCGGGTGGACGCCAGCAGCCTACTGTGGACCCAGGAGGAGCCACGGAGGAGCCGTGCGGTTGGGGGGGGGGAGGGCAGCCTCGACAAGAGCTGGTCCCCTCCCAGCCCACTCAGGGCCACCGTGAGAGAGAACACGAGGAACACTGGGGTGGGGAGTGACTTTCCTTCGAGTCCAGGATTGCGCTTCCCAGAGAAGGCAACCTCCGCCACAGAGACGCCTGTCCCCCACCCCTCCCGTGTCCTGCTCTGCCCAGAGGAGGTGCGCGGTGTCCGGCGGGTGGATGACCAGGCTCCGACACTGACTTGTCTACTTCTCCTGACTGCGGGACACAGATTTGTTGGGAAGCGCAAACTCTGGGGACTTACTCCCTACTGTCCTGTCCTCGGTCTGGTACGAGGCGGCCGTCCTGGTGGCTGTGCTGCTCTGCAGACCCAGGCTGTCCTTCCGACGGGCCGTCCCACAGTCCAACCATGGGTGGAGAAGCATGACAAGTGTTTGCGCCTTAAAATCCAAATCCATGCCCTGAGCGGTTGGTTAGGTGTCGTCCCACAAAGCGAAATGTCGCCAGTTCGACCCCCAGTCAGGACACATGCCTGAGCTACGGGCTTGGACCCTGATGGGGCCTGTACGAGGCAACTGAGGTTTCTCTCTCACATCCGTGTTTCTCTCACTCCCTTTCTCCCTCCTTTCCCCATCCCTAAAAATAAAGTCTTAAAAAAAAATCCAAATTCATGTTCTCCAATCAGCTTTATCAGTAGTCAAGTTGATAAAGGGGAAAAAATCTACTGAGGTTGAAGCCCGGGGGGCAGCCTCGAGCCCCCCATCTGCTGGAACAGGACCCAGAGGGTCCTGTCCTTAAGGGGAGGAGAGCAGAGAGGTGGGTGGGCCCAGGCTGCATGTAAGGGCATGCACTCCTCAGGCCACGGACAGGTGAATATTGGCAACACATGGCAACAGGGGACTCGTCTCCAGCCTATGTAAAGAACTCCTAGGAGTCAGAAAAAGACAGATTATTCAATTTAAAAAAAATGGGCGAAGACTTGAAGAGACGCTTCATAGATATGCACATGGCCAACAGCTTGAGGTGCCCAACTTCATCAATTCGTCAGGGACATGCAAAGTAAAACCAGAGAGATGGGCCCCTGCTCCCACCCCCACCCCCACCCCAAAGGGCTGAAGAAGAAGACGGAGGTTGTCTACCCCAGACCCACCCGCCGGCCCACCCCCCTCATGTCTGGCCCAGACCGTAGCAGTGGCTTCCAGGGTGCCCCTTCCCCCACTGCCCGTCTGTAGCCTCCACGCTGCAGGGAGATGCCGCTTTGAAAGCAGAAACCAGTGTGGGTGGGGGACTGGCTGTGGGCGTGGGAGGGGATGGGGTGCGGAGAGCGGTGGGGAGAAAGGTGGGGCAACTGGGACTGAAGAATACATTAAAAAAAACCACAACTCCACCCTCTTCTGCTCAGACCTTCCCACGACTCAGGACAAAACTCCAGGCCCTGCCTGAGCCCCCCAGGCCCTTTAAGATGTCTCCGGTGGCTGCGCCCTGAGCACACCATGGAAGACACTGCAGATGACGCCCCGCACCCGGGGCCCCGTCCTCTGGTCCCCTCTGACCAGTCCCAGGTGGCCCCGTGGCTTGCTTTGACCGATCAAGTGTGGCAGGAAGTCCGGGCGTCTTTCTGATCAGAGGCGTGAAGAGCCAGCCAGGGCTTCTCCTCTGCAGGTCTGGGTGGGCGGGGGAGGCTGCGCCCAGGAGGAGCTGCCCCACCAGCCCGCGGGGTCCGCACGTCTCTGCAGGACACCTGAGCGCCAGCCCACCCTGACCCACGCTCCCCCCACCCGCCCCGTCTGGCCTTGTAGTTTGCCCCCGCCGTTCCCCGCCCTGGAGGGCACTCTGCCTCAGTTCTCCCGGTTTGCCGGGCGGTTGGCACCACACTGCCACACCTCAAGCTGCAGTACCTCAAGCTGCACATTTTGAGTGGCCAACGACATACTGGATGTTGCAAACCAGCTGAGCAGAGGCAAGAAAAACTAACACAAGGATTCCAGCTACACAATATTCAAACACAGGCAGAACCACTGTTGAGGGAAGACTTAAGACTGAAGACGCAGATCTTAAGATAAAACAAAACAGGTGATCGGAGACACGGAGACTGGTTTCCTGGGGGGCGGAGGGAGAGCTCCGCACCGGAGGGCCGGTCTGGGTGTCGCCCGACTACAGTGCGCCCTGGGAGGTCTGCGGTTCTCTCTCCTTTATGGCAGACTCCGGTCAGGTACAGGTGGCCCTGGAGGGCAGGCGTGAGCTGCACGGGCCCACTTCTGTTCAACAAATACTGTACGTGCATTTACTCTCGCGATATAGTATCTCTGTAAGCTACTTTTCACATGCATCTCAGCTAACTTTGTCTAAAACTAGACTCACCTTTTTCTCTGATTTCACCCAGTCCCCTCGCCCCTGGCTACCATGCCTGTCCTCTACCGGACTGGCCAAAAAGCCTGTATGGTTTTGTCCACAAAATAAAGGACACGTTTTTCATTTTCCCCATTAACCCTCATGGATTCGGATATTTTGAAGTATTGCTGGCTATCTCCTGCATGGTGTAACGCTGACTGTTCTCGATTTGATCGCTATGAACGTCCACTGGTCCACCTGACCGCGGAGCATCGTCCAGTGACAGATCTCCAGCACGAAACTGTGCAGACCACTTTTCACACACTCGATGGGTGACAGCACCTTCTCCATACGCTGCACAAGTCTTTTTGTTTCAGTTGCATTTTTACCTTTTTTGAAATAATAAAGCATAATATGCCAGAACTGTTGCCTATTTCCTTCCGCCTTCAATGTTAAGATGGCTACACAAGAATTCACCATTTTGGTTATTTTAAATGCACGCTGGTATGACAGCTGTCACAATACACACTAATGAAACTGTTTTGGATGAAGTTGAAGACAACTAAGTCCTACTAGGGCCAGCTTACGGAAAAAAACGAAGGAACTTTTTGGCCAACCCAATACCCCTGTGGACGTGTTTACTCATCAGATTCCACACGTAGGTGAAACCACACGGCACTTGTCTTTCTCTGACACACTTCACTCAGCATAACGCCCTCCAGGGCCGTCTCTGTGGCCACAAATGAGAAGATGCGGCTCTTTGTGGCGGACCGACCCCCCGCCGCGCACACAGGTCTTTGCCGTCGTCGTACACGGACACCTAGGTGTGCGGCCCCCCGTACCTTGGATGCTGGAGGCGGTGCTGCGGTGAACACGGGAGCGCAACGCGCACCTTTAGGGTAGTGTTTTCGTGTTCTCTGGACGAACCCTTGGAAGCGAGTCACTGCTGGGTCCAAAGGTATCTCTAGTCTCAGTATTTCTGAGGAACCTCTCCAGTGTTCGGCAGTCCCACCAACAGTGCACGAGGGCCCCCCTTCCTCCACGTGGTTGTCTGCTTGGTGACAGCCACGCCGACCAGTGTGAGGGGACACTGCGTTGTGTGGGCACTTCCAGCTACAAAGTCGATACACCTTTAACCACTGATGCTGAAACGACTTCCCCGCATGTTCTGCCACCGGCACTGCCACAGCCCAGTCAACGGAATTGCCGTGTCTTACCGGTCACAGGGCCGTGTGGGCTAACTGGGGTGAGGAGCCCGATCCCGCGGGGCCCTTCTCCTTCCCGCTTCGCTCCAGGTCTGCGCAGGTCCCGGTGCCCATGGGGACCAGCAAGGGAACCCAACTCTGGGGCCCAGTCAACACGGCCACTTCCAAACCCGTTTCTCAAGGGGAGAAGCCTTACTTTAGTCCTGAAGTGCCGGCCGGGCTATTCCAAGTGCTAACTAACAAGGTGTTTATCCCATTTGCTCACTTCTGGCACATGCGCACATACACACACACACACGCGCGTGCGCGCACACGCACACCAACGTCTGGCAGGAGGGCAGATCTGCACCACAGGGCTTCCGAGCCCCCGAACCTGGCAGTGTGAGGACGCAGATGCGCGCCCTGCATTTCGTGCACGCCCCTGAAGTCAGGGGCGCACGGGGGCTCTCAAAGCAACCCCAGGAAACTCACGAATGACGAAGGAAAAGGTGACGCTGACTGCAGGTCACCCAAGACCAGCCTCCCTGTAAACGCCAGTGTAGCCCTCAGAGAGTTACACCCACACACCTACTTACTCGCTAGTGAGCGAAGGGGCCTCACGGGCTTCCCCCACCAGTCTGCCCGGCCTCAGAAGAGAAGCTCTGGATTGCCTGTTAATACGGAGCTACCGAGAAAGACACTTGACCTGTTCCCGTGTGACGTTTATCTCCATCGGTGGGTATTTTATTTCAGAACCTAAGTTTACCCTCCCCCAGCCCGCTTTCATGTCTACCCAAAGCGACTGACGGACATCGATCTCCACTTCAAGGGCTGGTGACGAGTAGGTTTGCAAAGGAAGGGAGATTCAAAGCGGACTCTCCACAAGAAAAGTTAAACCAAGAATACTGTATCACTACAAATTTTATTCAGAAACCCATCTTTGTTTTTTTTAATTGTTTTTTTTTTAAAAAAAATTCCCGTTATGAACTGGGCTGGTCAATCAACTACAGCACTTCCTAGCAGACATACGGTAAAAACGGCCTGGCTCAGAATCGCCCGGATCGCTCCCGGTCTCTCGACCGCCTCCTGTCACGCTCCCGTCCCCCGCCGCCTCCACCGCCTCCGCCGCGACCACGGTCTCTAGACCGAGAACGACGCTCCCGGGACCGGGACCTCGATCGATGCCTGCAACCAAGGAAAAGAAACAAAACCTTGGCATCCAGACACGCAACATAAAGCCACAGTGACCGACACTCCCAAACACCGTGCCCTATCAAACTGAAGACATCACTGAACAAGAAGAACGCCGCCCCCCCGACTGCAAGCCCCACTGTGAGTCCTGACTTTGGGTGTCGAGGTGTGTGGGGGCGGGGGGGCGGGGCTCCTTTGTTCGCCCATGCTCACTTTTGCTGACAAGAGGACAGAGCCACGGACGGCACCTGCATCCCCTAACACGGGTTTAACGGGACGGGCGAAAACTCAGTCTGTGCAGGGACAGCGACTCCGTGTGCCCTCTGACATCCGGGTTCTCTGCGTTGTGACGTGACCGCCTGCGCTTACAGACCAGGACCAGGCCAACAGGACTGTGCTCGACTCTGCCCGTGGTCTGTGGGCGCAGTGCTGAGAAAGCTGCCACCCCCACAGGACCCGGGGCCGCCCGGCAGACACGTGCGGAGCACACAGAAGGCCGTGACAGCCGCCCGAGAGAACGCTGCACGCGGGAGGGGATTTCGGTAGTCTCCCACTGACTGCTTCCTCAGTCACTGAGGCTCAACCCCAAATGGGGGTGCACACGCAGAGCACTCTTCAAATTTTAAAGTGTGCACTGCGTTCTAAGATGTGGGAAAAAAATGACATTTAACCAAGCTATACTTTATTAGAAAAAAAAAAAAAAGACAAAAAAAGACAACAGCGAGAAAACCGCCACCCACCCACAAACCCCGAAGCCGAGGTGCACAGAGGCACCCCCCCCACCCCCCCCGCACACTCACTTCTTGCGCCGGCGTCCGTACAGCTCCCGCCGCAGCTCTCTGGAAATGGGCTTCAGATGCATGAAGTTGCAGAAGCCGCCTCGTGTACACTCTCTGGGGAAGGGGACCAGAGACCGTCACCGCGCACGTCCACACCGCGCCCGCCGCCCGCCTGCCCTCTGTCCCCCGGCGGGCGGGCCCCCACACCTACCCCATTTCATACTGGCGGCAGCAGGCTTCCCGGAAGTCGGTCACCGGGGAGAGCTCGGCGTGGATGGGCTGCCCGTTGAACCAGCGGTTGTTCAAGTCAATCACAGCCTTCTCTGCGTCTTCTTCACGGCGGAACTGAGAAGACCAAACAAAAACGCCTGCTGCCCCACTTCAGCAACACATTTTCAACGGCGGATTCAAGCGCTTGTTGTGTGCTCTCGCAGGTAAAGCAGCTAAGGTGCAATAATGTAGCACCCAACCTTCTATTTACAATGAGATTACTTAATCTTGTGATGGTTCAAGAGCATGCCAAATATGTGGTCTTGGTTTCCCAATTCAGTTGGTTAAATGAGCAAATATAACGATTTCTGCAAGCAATTGAAGTTTCATTTAAAAAAAAAAAAAAAAAAAGGAAAAAGAAACGAGACACACCAACCAACCCCTCCCTACTCAAACAGCCTCGAACAGCTCCGGAGGGGCTCGCCACTGAACGGACGGCACGCACCCCCGCACAGCCCCGCGGGGTGCACCCCGCACGTCGCCCCCCGCCTACCTTCACATACACGTTGCCAACGAGGTGGTCCCCGAGGTTGTCGCAGACGTTCATCTCCTCCACCTCCCCGTACTTCTCCTCCATCTCCGTGAAAACCTCCTGCGGGGACAACGGCGTTGGCCGGTCACCACGCGCTCAAGACAGCGGACTGACCGAACGCAACTCATCGCCAGTATTTTCAGTAACGGAGGAAAGTCTGAATTCCCTCCAGACCGATGCCAACAGCCAGTATCTCACCTCAAAAAACTCATCATAGTGTTCCTGCATCTCCACATCACTCACGGCACCTGCGGACAACAGACACCTTGCTGGTTAGGGCGGGACGGCCCGAGGGACGCTTGTGCTCACATCAGCCTGCCACAGTGACACACGGGGCCGCGCTCTACTGGGGCGCCGGCGGGACCGCGCCACACAGCCGGCTGCCACACACGCCACAGCGCGGCGAGACCTCCCAACGCCCACGACAGTCCCCGCGCTGGCCATTAAAACCACACGTTTTACTCCGCATCGTGGGCATTTTCAGAAGTATGAGAACGTTACTCTCAAAAACTTTTTAAAAAACTTTAAGATTTAAAAACTAGAGGCCAAGTAATCACATTTTCCCCCTTTATTAGGCTAAAATGAAAGCTGAAATGAATCAGGGTACATGATTAAAAGCTTATGTGCCTGACTCATTTCTCTTCACAGGTTATCAGACACATGGAACGCTCTGAAATTCTTCCTAATGCGACTGAAGCCCAAGTGACCATAAGCACCCAGCAGAACAGTTACCAAGTTCATTTACAGTACTTCGAATGCCCTCTGAGTAAAGGGAAAGTCACAATACTTTGTTGAAGAAAGCATTTTTAGTTTCTATTTTCCTCATTTTTTCTTCTCTAACTCACAGGCATTAAGTGAAATCATGTCCACTCTGTGGGTGGATTTTGCAGATTTAAATTCTATCTCCATGATCATCTCCTTTACCCAATTTCAGTGTTCTTCTAGCCTAGACCCGGTTAGTCCCAGAGCTGGCGTGGCGACACCTGACTCCCCGACAGCCGGGCCGGGAGGCCGGGCAGCGCCTGGGCTGGCCCGCTGGCAAGACTCCCTGAGGGACCCTGAGCTGCGGTGCAGGGCCCTCCGTCCTGGCCACTGCCTTTTGGCAATTCTGTCCTGAAAACCTTTTTACCTTCAAGAACTTTAATCTTTTGATTCTGTGAGTGACTTAAGTTTGCCTCCTAACTCTTAACCTCCCTGCATGTTAGTTTTTTTTTTTAGCATTTATGGAACCCAGCTTGCCTTAGAACCCAAACCCACTGAACACAGGCCCGTTCCTCCTGGGAGGGCCGTCAGGAACACGTCTCCTCCCCGAGCAGAGGCCATGCTCGACCCGGAGTTCGGCAGACGAGCCCACTCCGAAGGGCAGGCAGGCCCCAGTGGCTGAACTCACGCCCTTCCCACATCGAGCAGGGGGGAACAGAAGAAAAAAGTCTGCACGCTCAAGGCTTGGGCAGTCTGGTGAAGGTTCTACCACCAGCTGTGGGGACATTCCTGTTCTGTTCTACAGAACACGGAATACTCTATTTCGTCACCTTCTGGACAGTGTATTTGAAAATGCTTAAAAGTGCGTATATTTTATCCTCTATACTTAAAATTTTTGAGTGAATTGAAAGGCAGAGGTGAGAGATTAAAAATAACCAGCTAAAAATAATTTACACAACTCAAAATACTTTAAGTAATATAACCTGAAAAAGACCCAGTTTTCTTACAGAAACATTCTTAAACTGGGATTCATGATTAAGTTTAACACAAGCACAGAAAACCCATGTTTCTATGAATGAAAGGGTATATTCAAAAGAATCATTACTTTCAGGAAAACTGAGAGTAATGGGATCCCAAATGGCTGAAATTTTATTGGAAGGGTCTGATGCCAAATATTTCAGGTTTATCAACTTAAATTGACCTTCTTTTTAAACTGTAGTCAGAATTACATTTGATTTATACAGTCAGGACCCAGAACTAGAGCATTTGTACAGCTAAACTTATTTTGTAGCACACACAGGACAAGAGCACTAGGAACCCCAGAGAGAGACACCAAGGAAACTAACGCAACGTTCTGCTGCCAATGAAGAACCCACAGTCCCCAGTAAACAAGCAGGGCGAAGAGTTATGAATTATTGTTACTCCGTTACCTACTTTTCATTCCTTTAATTTTAATTAAGTCTACATATAAACATTTTCCTCCATCTAATCGAGCTTACTCCTTAAAAAACAGAGGAACCCAACAAAAACCAGGTACTTTAATCCAAGGGCCACCAAGTCAACCCACTGGATCTGGGGAAAGACTTCTCCACGACCAGGTCGGCATTGGCAGCTGGAGGCGTTCAGTGTCTGGGCAGGGAAGCCCGCCCTGCAGACCCAGGCGCTCCTGCGTGTTAGCGGAGACCGCCCGTGTGGGGCAGGCAGAGGCGGCGGTGGCTGCTGGGGCCTCCCTGGCAGTGCGGGTCACCGTAAACAGGGGGGCTCTGGGCCCAGGCTGCACTGGATCTGGGTCTGTGCTACCCGGTCACCTTTGACAGCGTCTCCTGTTCAGGTTTACAGCTTTCAAACCAACTGGTGAATGAGAAGCACCCGCCCTGTGGCTCAAACCCCTTGGTTGTAACGGAAGTCCAGAGTGTTCATCCCAATTTATCCACAAATGACTATGTTGACTCTACAGCTTGACAGTTTTATTTCAAATTTCAATTTTCTGTTTTTTGAGCTACCCAATGACACTAGTATCTTGTTCTCCACCCCTCAGTAAATACAATGTTCATAATTTAAATGTTTACCAATACAAGAAGAAATAGTATCTACTAAATGCCCAGTTTAGATCCACTTCCCCACCAAGCACCCCGTATTTTCCGAATGCAGTGAACCAACTCCTGAAGGTGGAGACAGCTACATAAGCACTCTGGCTCAAGACTGAATGAGCGCAGGGCTGGGGCTGAGGGCAACATTCTCAGGACAACGTTCTCACAATTAAAGCATGAGCTCCAGAATGGAGTTTAAGGGAAAAAAGTCTAATAAATAAAATCTGAAAAATAATTCCAGGATAATTTTTTAGGTGGGAGAAACTTCCAAGGACTGGTGCTCTCAGAGGGAGGAACTCAGCCCCACGTTTCACGCCACGGCCGCTCCCCCCGGGGGGCGGTGAAGGCATGGGGGAGCGGCAGCCCCAGTCAGCGGGAAAGGGCGCTCTTTGCGGCTGTCACTCTCCTGCTTAGGTCAGAGGGCAGGGGCTCAGATCTCTGACAAAGGCTTCCGTGGGGGCGGCGGGACAGAAGCCCCCAGCACTTCCAGTGGAGGCGGTCCTTGACACTAGAGCGGCAGACCAGGTGGAGTGGACGCTGAGCTCTGACACGCAAGCCCAGGGAACCGGGGAAGGAACTTGTATGAACTTACAGCGCAAACCGTCAGCAGACTGGGAAGAGTTTTGAGGGTTACGGTAAATGTTCAAGAGGGCAATGGTCTGAAATACAAAACGCAACAACTTTATATTATGGAAAATTAAATGTAAACACTTAACCGGTTTCCTGAGGTGATCGTTTCAGTCAAGACTCAGTGCTGAAAAAAAGCAAGTTATTTCTTCCGAGGCAGAGATGCCTTCTTAGCTGATGGCGGTCTGGAGCACCCTAGCGCTGCAGTGCACAGAGATCCCATGATATGCCGGTATTGTATTTCCTTTCGCAGAGCGTTCTCCATTTCAACCTTCTGGGCGGGTAAGCGTGCACGTAAGTCGGCACGCTGGCACCAAAACATTCTTAGGAAAACTTTTAATAGACAACTGAGAAAGAAAAGTGCCATATGAACCGATGATATAATTACTGTATTAGAGAAATACAATAATTACATATCATGAAATCTCCATTTCCTAGAGAAAAAATCATAATGTTGAAATAAAACCCACGCTTATTGGGCAACTTACCTTAATGATTCCTAAACATTCCTAAGAGTATTAACTTTACAGAAAGAACTTAATACATGCCAGGGGTTCAGTCACTGTAAAGACCAATGACCGGCTGACAATGTTCAAATGTCACATGGACAGACCCCCCTCGTTGACAAATGTCAATCAAGGGGAGAGACCTGGCCAGCGACCTTCCCTAGGACAGCCTCCTGAACGCGGCCAAGTATCAAGTTCTTGCTGTACACGCCAAGGACTTCCGCCACCTTGTCCTGTTTGCAACAGCTCTATGTCAGCAGCTCAGAAGCCAACATTGTGTCTCAATTAAGAGTGGGCTCTTTAACACCATTGTTTTAAAAAAATTTCTCCAACTGTGGGACTTACAGTGTGAGCCGTCAGCCGTCTGTGCACTGTTTTGGGGATTACGATAGATGTTTTGAATCAAGATGGTCTGCGGGGAAAAAAAAATAAAAAGGGGAATTCTACTGGCTGCTGTGCATATATTAGACAATTGCAAAGAGACAACTTGCTTGCAAATGGCTCAACGCTTCTTTGCTTCCCACAAGTCAGACAATTGTCTTCTTAAGAGAACACCCAAACCATCATATTATGAAAACAGAGTTTGAGCAGTGACTAGCTCAAGTCAGCCAGCAACCAAGAAGAAATGTAATCGTCACTTTGAGTAGTCCCACGTTGTGTTTTAATGCAAGATAAATAGAACATTCGCATTTTCCTATACTTTAAGCGGGAGACACTAAGATGTTGAAAAATGTACATTATAATCATATTCCCCATACAAAATTCTTAAAAAAAAAAAAAAACCAAACCAACCACCAAACGCACAATCCAACTACGTGCAGTCTCCCCAGTCCTCTGGTCTCGTGGGAAACAGGCACGGCACATGGCTTCCCTAGTGCTCACGGACACCTATCAGATTTACATGTTCTTGGTAGGACCTCTGTTTACATAATACAATAGTTTAAAACATTTGCTCTTTTCCGATCCTTCTTTTAAGGGAAAAAAATCCTTTTAGCCCTTCTGCTTTAAACTGGATCAGGCAGACTTGAAACCTTACATTGTACCGTTCTTCTTAAAATCAAGTTGTCTGAAAAAACAAACCATGTTTAAGTTAGTAGACTAATATATTACACGAATCTTAATGTCCACATCACTGTAAGAAGCGTAAAAAGAAACCCACACTGAATTATGCTAGGTATTTACAAGCTGAACCAATAAAACACATGATTTAGAAAAATGTTCAGTTTCAGCAACACGTATCCAAAGCAGTTCTTCAAGCGGTCTCACAGAACCAACCAGTTCCAGTCCTAGCTACCTTTAACGGGGAGGGGTTGTGTCAAGACCCCGAGCAAAAGTCTGTGGCTGCTGCTGGGAAAACCACCGCAGAGAACTCCCCACAGCAGGCTGCACGCAGACCCTGCACTCAGAGCCTGGCACCTTCCCCGAGCCGTGGAGCACTGCCCGCCCTGCGTCAACTCATCTCGGGCCTCGGATGTGTCCCAGCGCTGACTCAGTGTTTCCAACCGGAATTAACCAGTGACAACTCTGATAGAAAGCTACACTGAGCCCGATTATTCACCAGATAAATGCCTTTTAGGTTTTGCCCAGGCAACCTGGCAGTGCTGGCTGTTTGGTGACAGAATTGTCATTTAAAGGGGCAATGCAGGTCCATTAAAGTCGGGGGTGGTTCAGATGACCTGACATCAACCAGCCAGATCAAAACAAGACGTTCAAGTTAGCACATACAACCGACCCCACAAACTTTAATGGCATCGTTGCCTTGTTTTGATCCTAAGTGCTCAAATTGACTTGACATTAACATTTCAGGTAATCAATGATTCAGAGAGAAAACAAACCAGGTGTCTCTGGGAAAAGAAAACTGTAACAGGGCAATTGCTCTTTCAGCTCCATACTTAATCCATCTGTAAGTCACCCTCCAAAATCAAAGAACTCAGTGGATATTTAAGATGCTCAGTAACTGCCCAATCTATGGCCACTTGTTTAGTGGTGAGATTTAGTTATACATGAAAGCACTTAAAAATTAGAACAGAGAATTTAAAGCCAATTTTCCAATATTCTGAAACTTGAGACATGTTCAAAGCTATTCAAACATAGATTTTTATTATACCAACCACTTGGTAATCAGGAATACTGAGGGAAGGAAAGCCATCACCCCTGTTTGAAAAACAAATTAGACTGTGGGGTTTCCTACGGGCTTAAATTAGAAAACACTAATGTCTCTTTGCCGCACCAACTGGCCACCTTCCCTGAGCACCTGAACACGTGGAGAGACAGGCGTGAGCTCCAGGCAGCGTCCGGGGCCGACGCCACGGTTGCCCGGCGGTTCAGGGGCCGCACGCTCAGACTTCGTGGGTGGTCAGAAGGGGCTCGGCGGCCCTCAGTCTACAAAGACTGCAGTAAAAATTCTTCAAATTCCAAATGTTCTAGCATTCACGGGCATAAGTTTTCTGTTAGTATTAGAGGTGCTCTCCCTTTATTACATCAGTGAGCACTTACAGGGTACAAATTCTCACCTCTTCTTCAATTAACCAAAAATATCAAAAAATCATGCTTCTTGACTAAACCAAATCAAAGCAGACCTAAGCCCAAGGTAACAGGCATCTCTCAAGTCACTGAACAGACTGGCTACAAATAACTGATACGAATGCCCATCTTCCAACGTTAAGTTTCATCTTTAGTGTTTCCACGCTGTGATGTAACTTGCTAGCTCCTTGACTAGGGGTCTCTGAGGGAGGGGACACACCCTGCAGGACCGGAGACCTGAGTGCAGGGCATGATGGGTCTGCCGGCAGTCACCCCATCCCTCCTGGAGGGTGGCTCTGTCCCCATCCACGGCACGCAGAATGGGGAGCGGAAAGCCCACTCTGCGTCTCCCGTGCCCAGAAGAGGCTCAGTCGAGGCTGGCATGGCTGCCCCGGGCCCGTGTCTGTGAGGGGGCGGGAGGGTGGCAAGGCAGCAAGGACCAGTCACTGTCAACACACACACACACGAGAACTTCGTTTCAGCAGGTTTCTCCGCAGTGAAAACAGTGGGTGGTGCTCCCAGACCTTCCACCGGAGTGGCTCACTGGCGCGGAAGAACACACTCATTATGAACACAAGTGGAAAATCAACCAGCCAGACGAATAAAGGCCCCACTTATATATGGACACAATTAACTGCCTCTGTAAAGTACATCAAGTTCTGATAATTTATGTGAAAAAAGAAAATACAGAAAAAATAAAAACAAACCTGGCTAAAGGTTGGTTTATTGTGCAACCGAGAGCATCTGTCTCCATGACGACATGCCCCAATTTTGAAATAAAATGAACAGTTGACTCTGTAAGGGAAAATAAGAACGGATTATTTTGCTGGGAAGACACCAAGCATGAAAATATATCATCACCATGACACATGCTATCAAACGACTTCGCAAAAACACAAGCACATCGGTTTTTGACTGGCAGCAGATACCCCTCCCTGGCAGCATCGTCGGACGCCCTAGCTTCGTATCTGTCTGCCCCTCGGTGAACTGTTTCAATGAACAGCACTCATGCCCAATCCCTCCTTATCCAAATCCCTCCACTTTCTACTTCTTTTACTTTGTTTTCTTATAAGTGAAGTATTAGTCTAAAACTAAACTCAACTGAAAACGTATCTGTTTTTCAGTCTTCCACGATCATGATTTCTCTTGCAGACACCGACACAGTGCAGTGAGGGTCAAGATCCTACCCTGCCACTAGCCGCCTGGGCTCGGGCAAGTCCCGCCAGCCCCCAGGGTCTTGGGAACCACCCGTAAAGTGAGGAACATGCCAGCCGGGCACTGTTCCGAGAATCGGCGGTCACGCAGGTGTGCGTCACGCACAGTGCTCATTCAATGCAATCATTATCTAAATAAAACAGGAAACAAAGTCCAGGGTCCCTTACCATGAGACCAGGCCAGTAGGAAATTTCCACAAACAGGTCTGAAGTATGGTTTCAGCATATTAAAAACAAACTATCAGGGAACTCAACCTGCACCTCTGTCCCTACTGCAAAGCCCTCCCTTAATGCTGGTCAAATACTGCACGACCCAGATCGAAACCCAACTAGCAATCCAGCCAGAGTGATGTAGCAGTGTCATGTGGCTTAGCAGATCTGTGGTCAACCATGAAATCTCACTAGATGAGCCCCACTCAAATTTACATTTCCAGAGGCGAGGAGGTTATCCTGTAGATTCAATTTTTTAGCAAGTGCCATATTTAGACAGCCAACCCAGAGTAAAGACAGAAGGACCTCAATGAACTCTGACGGACCATGGACCACTAGCCACTGATTTGTTATTAGGTAGCAATAAAGTTGGGAAAGTCTGAACTTACCAGGGGAGGAAAATGGTCGCACTACTATACATGTTTGCAAACTAACCATGTAGGTCTTACTTTCGATTACCTAACTTGAGTATACAACCTTTTATCTTCAGAGTCCCCTGAAAACGAAGAGTTTATTAAAAAAAAAAAATCTCAGAACGGGCAAAAACCCTGTCCAAACAAGCAACATCCAACTATTCCACAATGAGAACAATCCTTGTTCCCATCCTTCCAGAGATGGCTTTCATTTGTTGATGTCCAGTTTAACCACCCCACCCCGTCTCTCTGAAATGAGAACAGGAATAACTTAATCAACCAGGTTCCTGAATTAAAACCATGGCTTTTACAAAGCAGCTCAGAGAGGTGGTTATTACAATAACACCATGTAGTAAGAGTTTTGTACAGTAACAGTGAAGACACCACCTGATAGTTTTGTTTTTTTTTTTTAAACACAACAAGGCAATAAAAAGCATCAGAGGGAAGTCATGGCCCATACTAATAATAGGCCAAAGAGTGAAATTAACGGTGCATGTTCTCATCCTGCACTCACAGAGGCCTTTTTCCAGCAGGGCCGGTCCATTCAATCAGTTACATTTAAAGGCAAGTTCCCCCCATTACTCTTGTGTGAGCTGGAAGGTGCACTTAGGGTGCACATCTCTTCCACGGCATTTAACATTTTTTGATGCCTTTTTCTTTAACTATCCTTTACATGCATGCGCCCCCTCTTTGAGAACAAGATCCAAATTTTATCCATCTTTGAGTCTCCAGAGATTGTATTTGGGTTGACACCCAAGTGACTATGACAGATGATGATTCTGTCGTGTGTGTGTGTTTTTTTTTTTTTTTTAGGAAAAAGTATAACCCCCCTCTTCCAAACAACACAGAAGATTCTATCATGTGTAACAGAAGACATTTTTACAAGATGTATCCTGGAAAATAGAAACAGTTTAAACAGTTTGGAAGAAGTGGTATTATGACCAACTTAGAGGTTTACCACTAAAATCATACATTCACATTAAGGCTTTTATATAGTCTTGAAAAATCCCAAATGGTAATTACTTATTAAAGAAATAGATTAAGCCAGACATTTAGTCTTTAGGTTTTCAAAATAAGAATTATTCTCTGAACGTCTGAAGACATTTTTAGTCTAAAGTTCAACACGTGCAAAGGCGGCACTTAAAGTCAGAATTTTTAACTTCTAACCTAACGTTTAGGGAAGGCATTCAACCTTAAAAAGGGGGGAACACTCCCCTTTTCTCTTATTTTGGAACTGCGTCTTCAAGCATTTTGAAACCTCAACAATTAGGACCCTAGGTTATCTGACAATAAGCACAGCGAGATGTGTACTAGAGCTTTCCCGACACATTCGAGACTGAAAGTTGGGAGGAATTGTTTAACACTGACAACTTCAGGACAACTCGAGACGGCTTCCGAAAGCCGCGCCGGCCCAGCGGGCCGCAGAGAAGCGCCGCGCGGGGAAGGCCGCGCCGCCGGGGCGGAAGGCCGCTGCCAGCCCGCGCTCCCACAGCCGGCCCGCCCGCCCGCCTGAACGTCCACGAGGCGGCGGCGCGCGGCTCCCGAGGCCGGAAAGACCGACGCGCCCCTCCCCCACCCGCCCAGGCCGCCCGCCACCGCCCGGGCCCGCTGCCGAGCCCACTCGCCTCCCCAGCCCGGAGCCCCGGCGGGAGAGTCTTACTCACTTGTCTTTCTCGGTGCCGAAGATGGAGGCCAAGTACTCCGCCATTTCCCACCCGCAGGCGCGGACACTGCTGCCGACACGGCCGACCCTGCCCGACGCCCGCGGGAGACGTCACCCGGACGCGACGACGCTCGCCCCGCCCCCATGGCGTGGGGTTGCTGCCCAATCGGGTGACACGCTGCCAGTGCCTGGGCGGAGCTTGGGGCACGCGGGAGGCACCAACTTTTGGGCCCCCGACCTCGCGTGTTGCCCGCTGGCGCCTCCTGCCGGCGTGTTCCGATTCCTGCGCCCCCAACCGCGACCGCGACCGCGGCCTGGGGAAGCCTAACACGCTAATCAGGGCCGGGAGAAAAAGGCTGTGGGCGAGGGGCTTCTCCACGCAGTTGCCTGGGGCTGGGTCCGCGGAGCTAGGAGAGTCATAGGTGTGCCTCCCTTTCCGCACCTTCCCTGCGGGACCTGCACAGCCTTTCGAACCTTTCCTTGGTGAAAACCCCTCCTCCACTGCCTTCGTAGGCAAGGAATGGAGAAGGGGCGCCCCTAGCTGCCCCGATGGTCTTGGGAGGAGCGCGCGCGGGGGCTCGTCCCTTTTAAGGCTCCAGTTCCTAGGCTGGGCCCTCCTGGAAGATCCAGGATAATCTCCCTGTTTTCAGGTGGTCTGGAGAGTCTCTTCCTGGCAGTACTTAGCTTAATGTGTGATGGAAAAATCAGGGGATTGAACGAATCTTGGAAGGGGGAGGACACATCACTAGAGTCCTAGTTGGATTTGTGGGGAACAAGACCAGAGAGGAGGTGACGATTAGAGGAAGAGTTTTGTTGGTGAGAAATGACTGGGCCGGTTGGGGCGAGCGCGGCAGGCGTGGCGCTCAGAGTATGGGGGGCAGGCTACAGAAACAAACGGGACCACCACTAACGACTGTGATGACTACTGTGACCGTGCCTGCCCCCCATTCCATATGTTGAAGCCCTGACTCCTAGCACCTCAGACAGTGACTATAGTTGAAAGGAGGGTCTTTGCAGAGGTGATTTGGTTAAAATGAAGCTGTTAGAGTGGGCCCTAATCCAATCGGACGGGAGTCATTTTGCGACGAGATTAGGACCACAGGACAACGTGGGGAATCCAACCAGCCAAAGAGATGCCTTGATCCCGTCGGGAGACTCTTGATCTCAGACTTCCGGTCTCCAGCACTGTGAAGGAATATATGTCTGTCAAAAAGGGGTTTTAAAATTGTGGAGTCTAAAACAATATGAACACTTTTTAAATAAAGATTTTATTTATTTATAGAGGAGAAGGGAGGGAGAAAGAGAGGGAATGAAACATCAATGGGTGGTTGCCTCTCATGCCCCACTACTGGGGACCTGGCCCACAGCCCAGGCATGTGCCCTGACTGGGAATTGAACCACTGACACTTTGGTTCACAGGCCCGTGCTCAATCCACTGAGCTACACCAGCCAGGGCATTATGAACACTTTTGCTCCCACCTTTTAAGTTCTGATAGGTTAGGCTAATAACCAAATTAACGGACAGATTAACAAGAGAAAAATCAAGGTTTAATAGGCATGAGCATGGGGAATTCACATAGGCATGATAATTCCATGAAAACTCCAAAGATGGCAAGACAACACTGGCCATATAAGACATTTTTTGGACAGAGGAGAAAGGAGGGTGGACCGGGGTATAGTATTAGATTTCAGAAGTGAGAAGGGTGATTACCAGGAATTGAACAGCAGGGACACACAGGGCAGGAAAATCCTTGAGAGGCAACTGAGAAACCGTGGGACACAGGGTATCTAGCTAACAGGCACCTCCCTGAAGCCTTCGTATTTACCAGATTTCATTCAAACTAGACTAAGGCGGCATCCTAATATCCTTTTCCTCAAGCAGGTTTCTCTGGATGTCTTGAGCAGGAAAAGTGGGGCGGGCAAAAGAGCCTCCTTCTGAGTCTTGTTTCTTAATAAACAGCTTAAAATCAGTATCCCCAAAACGCAGCTTCAGGTGGCAAAACTTTGGTCCCCGCAGAAGGAAATGGCTGGGAGGGCTGGGGCACTAAGTCTGAGACGCCCCACCGCACCGGTCTGTGGGCGGGGGGGCGGGGGGAGCCTGCTGGTCCTGCTGCTGTGCATTCTGACCCCCTTCGTTCCCCCAGTGACACCTGGAACTCCATGTCGCTACTGCCCCCCGCCCCCCTAACTGAGTGGGATCTCACTGTTGCTGCCTCTATGTGTTCCTGGGAGGGTGGTGAGTGTACTGGCAAGGTCATGGCCTGTGCTCCTAGACTGCCGCTTGAGCGGCCAAGGGGAGAGTCAGCACCGACCAAGGCAGGAAATGGCTGAGGAAGAACTGATCTGGGTGCAGTTCCGGCCTCAGTGCACTGTGAGAACGTGCGATTGTTTCACAACCTTAACTTCCTGCTCCTGGGTCCCCACGGAGAGAGGACATGTCATCTCTCATCGCCCACCCACTGCCTGGGGCTTGGCCCTAAACCTTGCTTTGCCTGTGGAATTTGAGGGGACAAAATGTGAGCCCCTTCCGAGATCGCAGGTCCCCAGTGTGTGCTCCCCTGCAGTCCAGGCCTGAGTGGGAAGCGGAGGGAGCAGGCCTGAGCAGACAGGCCAGTGGCCCGGATCAGCCCGGCAGGCGGGGGAGCTGGGAAGACACCTGTTTGTAAGCAGGTGGACTTCAGGGTCGTCACTGTAGCTCTGCTGACTACTACGGCGTGGACGTGAATGGCCTACCGGGATTTCCAGTAGAAATGACCAGCAACCTTTTGTATATGGGGTGGGGCAAAAGGAGGTTTACAGTCGCGATGCAAAACTACAGTAATAATACAAGAATAAATTGTGTTTTGCATACAACTGTAAACCTCCTTTTGCCCACCCCCTGTGTGCATCTCTCTGCTAGAATGTTCTGTGATGACAGATATACTCTGTATCTGTGCTGTCCAGGGACGTGATGGCCACTGACCCCATGTGGCTCTTGAGCACTTGAAATGTGGCTAGTGTGAGGAAGGTACTGAAGTTTAAGTGACATTTTAATTAATTTAGATTTAACTTAAGTGGTCACATATGGCTACCGGATTGAGGCACCTAAAGTTCAGGGGGGAGGCCCCAGTAAGTGGCATATTTGGGACTCGTTAATAAGTATAGAGTTAACATACATAAATATGTGGGCCTCTGCACATGTATACAAGATTTTAGTATGTGTTTTTCTGGGGGAAAATATAGTCCATATTTTGTCAGATTCTCAAAGGGATCTTAGCCTCCAAAGTTAACAGGTTTCCCTGGGCCCTCAAGGGTCCTGGGTGGCGCCTGGTAGTTAAGAACTCTGTTTTGTTTTGCTTTTGTTTTGGGAGGCAGTACAAGTCATGCTCAGAAACCGAGTCTGGTTTTTGGGTTTTTTTTTTTTTTGCCAGCAATTTATTTAGCAGTTTCACTGTGGGAATGTCACAAGCCAATAGCATACAGGATGTTGGCTCTTACTGAGCAAAATAAAGAAATGCCATACTCTGAAGCAAGGGCATACTCCAAACAAGTGGCAAGTTGATCACACTATTGTTCCGGGCAAGGGGAGATGAAGGAATCAAGTCCAAACTTCATGTGACGGGCGCCTTTTTATACCAGGAGGCGAACTACCAAAGAGCCCATTCCCAAGCTGCCAGGGCGAAAGCCTCGGTCCCCTGTTGGTAGAGCACGTTGCTAGGGAACGAGGACGCCAGTGTTGGCTGGCAGGCCGATCCCTTTCAAAGGGGCTCCCTACCCAGACAGGAGGGATGCCCCGAGGCTCTTAGGCGAGTGTTAGGTTAGTGAAGAGTCTCCCTGCCCAAACCGATACTCTGCCGGCTGCAGTCTCCCCGCCCCCGTCTCCCCCTCCCCGTCTCCCCGTCCCCTCGCCGCGGTTGCTTCCCCACCGGCTCCTATCAGTAAGTCCCCGCTGGGGCCCCTCCGCAGCTGGCAAGCTGATTGCTTATCAACCGACCACAGACGTAGAATGAGGACGCCCGGCCTCTGCGTCGCGTAGGCGTCCGTCCTGCGCTCCTTAGACTCCCGTGGGCCGCCTCCGGGTTCCCGACTCCCTCCCTCTCACAAGCTTGCCGATCCCTTGGCCGCTCTCAACGGCCGCCGCGCTCGCGCCTGTTCCCGGCCGCGCTGCCTGCGCTGGGGGCGCTGCCTCTCTGCAGCAGCGCTCCGGGCGGCGGTCCTAGCTCAGGCTGCGCCGACACAGCACTACGGGCTGGGGGCTCAGACACCGAACGTTCATTTCTCACAGTGCTGGAGGCTGCAGTCCCCGATCAAGGCGCCGGCAGACTCCATGTCTGGTCGGGGTCTGCTCCCCGGTTCAGGGGAGGCCGGCTGCTCACTGTGACCCCACGTGGGAGAAGAGGCGAAGGAACCGTCTGGGGTCTCAGTAACCTCATTCATGAGGCCTCTGCCCTCGTGACCTACTCACCTCCCGAAGGCCACACCTCCAATACCACCACACTGGGGGTGAGAATTTAACAAATGAATTTTTCGGGGAGGTAAACATTCAGTCTATAGCACTTGGTTACGACTGTCTCTGGACTTACCTTTAGTTTATTCATGGGATCGGTAACACCTACTTGGACAGCCGTACAGAGCTTGGCACTTAGTAGATGCTCACTAAACAACAGCTACTTTCATGGCTGAACTGTGTCTAACTGGATGTTGCCATCTCTCTTACTAGACCGTGAGCGCTCTGAAGATCCCGGTTTTATCTTTTCCTAGATTTCCTGGTAGAAAAGACCCACAGTCCCTTATGTGCAATTCTGAAATGCAAAAATTCTGAAAATTGAAAGCCTTTTTTTTTTTCCTCCTATGAGTTGGGTGCCAAGATTTAAGTTGCCGCCAAAAATCAGGCCTGGCCGGAGCTGCTGCAGGGCCCTTGTGCTCCCCACGGTCGGGCGCCTCTACTGGCTGCCGACAAAAGTGCGCATCTTCAATTCATTTTTCCTTCTATGACTTTGGCTTCCACCGCACCGTGAATGCACCATAAAGAGTTAAAGACGCCCCATCACTTGCTGTGGGAGGGAACCACAAAAACCCTGTCCTTGTAGAGAGTGGAAAGTCGCTGGATTTGGGAACCGCGGTGACACAGACTTAGGAAACCAGAGGACAGGCAGTTGA